GCAATCTTGAAGAGCACCGTCGACGGCCTGCAGTACTTCGACACGTACGTCGACGACGCGACGGCCCTGACCAACTCTTTGGAGGCAGACCGACATTGCACCCAGGAGGTGGCACGTCTGGACCGCCTCGCGGGACAACGCGAAGATCCGAAGAAGGGCTCTATGGCGGCGGTCTTCCTTACCAGCGGCACCGACCGCGCCGACAGCGCCCTCCCCCCCCCCCCTCACCAACAGTCGCGCCGACAACCACATCGACACCGACGTCGAGGTGCTAGGCGTCGTTTTCGACCTCACTGGACCCCGCAGCCCCCGCAGCGGCCCGCGCACCGAACGGAGGGCAGGGGAGCTCCAGGAACGACTCCGACGCATCGCCACGATCGCCAAATTTGCCGGGCTCGGGGCCCGGAGGCGCATGGCCATGGTGAGAGCAACCATGTCCTTGTGGCGCTGGGGCGCTCCGTGGGTCATGGCCGACGACACGGACCTGCACGGCATGCGCTGCGACATAGAAAAGACCATCACCGGGAGACAAAGACATTGGGCATGGAGGCGCGGCGGTGCTTTCTGGCTCACCACGGACAAAGGATGGCTCGTGGAGCCCTTCGCGGTGCAGTTCTCGGTTCTCGTCCGGTGTCTCGTGGAGGCGGCGTGCAGCGAGGGCGCCGCGCGCACCGTGGAGCGAGCCTGGGCCCACCTGCACGAGCAGGAGCAGCACGGAGGTCGTGCGGGCAGATCGTCGAGCTATCGCCTGGCTGCCCGGATCCGGCAAGTCGTCTCCCGTTTCTGGCAGCCCACAGACAGTCCATGGACGTACCATTTCGACCATCAAGCTTTCAATGTTCGACTCCTTCGCCAAGAACACCTGGACCACCACGTGCGCCAGGCATGGCGGGCGTGGATTTGGACACGTTACCACCGACGGACGCTCCGCAAGGAGGCCGCCGGCCGCGTACCAGCGCCTTGCCACGCGACCCTCTGCGAGTGGCTGAACGAGCACGCCGGGGCCGACCACGACCGGATCGCTTTGGCACAGAGGTGCGTGATGGCAGCCGAGCCCAACGCAGTGCGCCTTTCGCATCTGCATCCGGATTGCTTCTCGCGCACCTGCCCCACCTGCCAGGTGGACAGCAACACCCGCCACATGATGCGCGAATGTCCGACCACGGAGCCGCTTCGTCGAGCGCATGGGCTCCATTTACCCCTACCGCTCCCGGCCGACCTCTCTCAGGCCGAACGGAGCGCTTTCATGCTGCGTGGTTGGCACGACCACCACCGCCCTCAACTCTGCACTTTGGCGTACCGGGTGCTCAACTATAAACTGGCGGTCTCCCGGCCGTGGCACGCCGCGTGCCTTGCAGCCGCCGTTTCTGGCCGCCAGCAGCAATAATAATTTGTTGCATCTTGTGCATCAGCGACAACGAGTGATTGCATGTTCTGCATCCTCTCAACAAGTATGCGCTTGTCGGCGCCTTCTTTCAACTATAGTGTTTTCCTTCTTTACTGCTTCGAGGACATCAGACATCCTGTTGCAGTCAGAGCCAGCGTGGCAGTCGAAGTCGAGTGGATTTTGTGCTGGCAGCCACGCTGCGTATTAAGAGGAGGTGGGGGCGCGCGGAATCGGCGCGAAATCGCGCCCACATCGCCGCGACGTGCAGGCGCAGAGCTGCGCCTGCCTAGTGCTGTTTCGCAAGTTTGCTTCGCCGATTGGGGATCAGCCCCGATTGGCTGCCTTCTCGGTTTTCTGGGGTGGCCCCTGCCGCGTCCAGCTGTCAGGCAGTATTTGCCTGGCCTGGTTTTCAACACCATAAATCTTTTGGCCTCAGAGTCATGGGAGCGTAGCTTCATCCCGATGTGCTTTCTTTCACGCGCCGCTTCGGTGGTTGGAGTTGTGCGGACCGCCGACTTTCCAGTCGCCCGCATTGGCGTCGGCCCGAACGCATGCCACGGCGACAGCGGTTACGCTGCGCTTCCTCCCCCGTTCATGTTTGAATTGGGGCTCCGACGGGGGCAGCTTCATGCCTTGCATGACCCGCTGCCGCCTTGGCGCAAAGCGGCGTCGCACTTTTCAGCGATGCATCTGCGGTAGGTATTGGATAAAAGGGCATTTTATCGTGGTATCCCTCACCCCTTGTATTTCATTCTCCCCGCTGCGATATCTACATCACTATTGATTCTTGGGCCCCGCCCACCTTCCGTGCATCCACGTTGCGTCCGAATAATCCCCTCCCCGTTAGGGGGCGTTTGGAGGGCTTTGGCGGCGAGGGGGTAGTAAGAGGCTTCCGAAACGGCCCACGAGCGCTCCAAAACGTCCCCAGGTTGCTTCAAAACGGCCCCAAAGCCTCCACTACTCGCCAAGAAAGCTCGAACAGGACACTCAATAACTATTCAAGAGGGAACATGTTTAGCTCATTCACATTTGTCGTCGTGGCTGAGTCGACGACGGCCCAATCGACCGAGAACGCCCCCCAAGAGAGCCCCGAGACGGCGCCCGAAACGGCGCCCAGGACGGCCTCGAGAGGGAGCTCGACCCGATTATTCAAGCCCACTATCCTATGAGGCCCACTGAAACTCTGCCCCGAAGGGCAAGAGGCCGTGTGTGACCGCCTGAAATGAAAGCTTCAATAACTCCCCGAGAGGCCCCCAACAGGCCCATAAGAAACGCCACGAGGCCTTCAACTGGTCTCTGAGAGGCCCCAAGGGAAACTTCTCCGAGAGATTTTCCAGGGTCTTTCCAGGGTATCCCAGCGACATCCAAGAGAACTCTGACCCACAACCCAGCCAGGGTGGCGGGTCGGGCTTCTGACAGCCCAGATGGCCCAAGAAACCCGGCATTCCAACTCCAGATGGCCCGATTGCACCTCCTTCCTGTTTCGTCCCTCCCCTTCCCCCCTCCTCTTTCGACACTTCGCCTCACCCCTTGGAACTTTTGACCCTACCTCCTCCCTGCCGATCATCATCCTCGCGGCTGCGGCCCGAGGAAAGATCCCGCACGAGCAGGGGAAACATACGAGGAAAAGCAAGTACTGAGGATATCCTGCTGACGTTGTTCCATATTCGGGTAGGAGGAAAACACGAGGACGAGGAGGATATCGTTCCTAGAGTACGAGGAGGAACCTACGAGGATAATCAAGTACTGTTGTTCCATATTCGGATAGGTTTGTGCACAGGTGCAGCAGTGTTGTTGCCGAGGACCGGGACGCACTAGAACCTCAGCGCGGGCGCGCGTGTGGTATCAGTTCACGTCAACATGCGCATGGAAAACCGTATTCTTTCAGGATCAAGAGGACAGGCTCCAGGGATCACATCTGGAGCGAGTGCCGATCGCACCGAGATGCTGGGAGTTCCGAGTTCGGACGCTGCCCTCGATCTGCGGCTGGCAGTCTGACCTCGAGGGCCTGGGAGTGCCGTGCTGCGCCCGTGCTTTCGGCCTGGGTTGTCGGGGGAGGAGGAGGAGGAGGAGGAGGAGGAGGAGGAGGAGGAGGAGGAGGAGGAGGAGGAGGAGGAGGAGGAGGAGGAGGAGGAGGAGGAGGAGGAGGAGGAGGAGGAGGAGGAGTGACACGGGAGACCCCTCGTGCAGCTCGGGAGCGGTCCGTCGGCGCCCGCTCCTGCTCGGAGCTCGCTCCCCCGAGCGGAGAGGCAAAGCCAGACCCTGAGATCTGGTCGCTGCAGTTTTGTCACACTGGGATTTTTCGTTCGTCCTCTGCCCATCAGATCGACCCTGCCTCAAACATAGCGCAAAAAGGTTGGGTCTAGGACTTAGGGCTCTGGTCGTGAGTGTTCGCGAGGTTATGTGTTTCGCCACGTCGGAACTCAGGGTAAGGCGTGGGAAGACAATGAGATTGCCTCCGGGTAGTGCCAACACATATTCTCCGCTGGCTCTGGCGTTCTGGTCTTCGAACGTATGTTTCAGGGGCAACGAAAGGGGGGGATAGGCATAGGGGGGGATGCATCGACCCCAAGTCGCCCATTGATCGCCGATAGGGGCCCGATAGCCCCAACCCGCCCAGGAAGGTGCGGAATCACCATCGGGAGCCTATGGCAGATCTATCGGCGATGTATCGCCGATTCCAGGTCGATATATCCCCCCCCTATGTTCATCCCCCCCTATCGTTACCTCTCAATGTGCCATCCAGACAAATTCGGGGCTCCCTTGGGGGCATGTTGGTGGTCTTGTGGCTTTCCTGTTGAGGAGGACCCTCGGGATCCCTTCGAGTTCCCCCTCTTCGGTAGGGCCCTCGAGGGGTTAGGCCGTTTTGGGGCCCTCTTGGAGGCCTTGCGGGCAGTCTTGGGGCGACCTTGTGTGCCTCTTCTATTGCCTGAGACACCCCGGATATCGAAACAGAGAGCACGCCAAAAATGCCGGAAGACGTGAGAGCAAATCTGTGCTGGTTGCCTCTTTGTGTCCTCTTGGAGGTCCTCCCGTGGCTTCCCTGGGCCATCGTGGAGCTGTCTCGAACGACTCGTACGCGCCCTGGAGCTTTTCAGGGCCAGGCGACGCCGCCCAGGCCAAGATCATACCGCCGGGCAAGTCGCCCAGACCCCCCCCCTCTTGCAAGCCTGCTGGACCATGCTGGGGGGGGGGAGGTTTCTGGGGAGGGGCACTCCTGTCAAGCACAAAGGAACCCAAGGGGTCGGCGAATTTGATGTCACATGCGGCAGGCGTTTGGGTTGCACCCCCCCGAACATAGTCTGGGCACTCTTGCCCGCGATGCTTCGCACGCTCATGGTGTTTCACGTCGCGGCTAGAAGACACGCATCCTCCCTCCGCGGCGGGATAGCTTCCACCACGGCAGCATTTTTCGGCTCGAGACGGGCCCTCCTTCGCTTCCCGCCAGGCTTGGTTGGTTGGGCGGGCGCTGGGTAAGGAGAGCGCAGACAACGAGCAATGGAGGAGGGGGGGATGACGACGACGACGACGACCACTAGGAACAGGATGTAGCTCGTTCCGTTTCGCAGCGTCAGGATGTAGTCTGATAGCACCAGTTGCTTGCTTCGGCGCCTCACATCATATGTGTTCCATGGCCGTTGCGGCTTGTTTTCCGGGTCGGCGCATATTGAGTTCAGTGGGCCGCGCGAAGGTATTGCTGGGACACGCCAGGACCCGCATCACGCAGCATCGTTTGCGCCGCTTGTTGAAGAGGGGCCACCACCTTCGAACGCTCGGGAGGTCCGATATAGTATCTTGCTACTTGCGTTGCTGGTTGCTGTTGCCAGGCGCCTACGTTCTTCGCGAGTGCTATCTTACAGCTCCATGGTTTCGCTATGTTTGCCATGTCCCATTTGTGACGTGACTGTGCCTGAGTCCATAACAGGAGGAGTTGTGATCCAGGCAGTCCAGCCAGTTCTTTGAGACTGTCTTTGTCCATTATAGTATTTTGCAGCACGCGCAGTGGGGCCCGTGAGTGAGAGGGATCATGGACCGCAAAGGAAGGCGAGTCGAGTCTTCCCCCCATTCCCCTCCTTTTCGGCTTCCTCAGCTTTCTACATGAATTCCTTTCCCCCATGGTGCCGAGGGCACTTTGCGACGGACGCCATGGAAAGCCAGCATCTGGTCCAAAAGGTGGGAATGCCTATCCATATTTTTCCTCTTGCTGGTTGTGTCCTTGCTTCTGCTGCGGCTAAACCTCATTCTCCTCCGTCTTTTGCTCACACCTGGGCCCCCGACGGTTTGGTATTGCCTCCTGCGTGGACCCCCGCAGGTTTGGACCCCCGCAGCGAATCTACCGTTCCCGAGCTTTTCCAAAAGGGGGATCGGGATTGTTTGGATGGATTACGCTCCGCCTGGCGTCGGCGCGCGCAGTGTGGGGCCGCGCGCGCATCCGAGCGCACCTGGGTTGCGGGGACCCTTTGCAGTCGACAGCAGCGAATCTGTATCGTGCCCTGCAGCGCGTGCCGGTTTCCCGACGGGAGCCCGGCCATTTGGCCCGCAGGTGTTCCGTTCCAGGACCGTTCCCGATTCGGCGTGCCGCAAGGAGCTGGCGTAGGCTTCTGACCCGTCAGGCCTCTCAGTCGAGTTATTTGTGGTGGAACTTCTTAGTGCCCGTTGGAGCCACAGGATGGGTTCCGAAACGGCCACGACGCTGGACCTGGTCAGACGTCATCGCGGCGCGGCCTGGCAGTGCCAAGGCCTTCTCGCGGTGGCGCCCGACAGCGTCTGTTTTCACAGCGTCCTCGGAGTGTGTCTTCAAGGGCGCCCGAATCGAGCTGGTGGAATTCCGCAGTTGCCCGCTGGCGTTTGGGATCTTTCGAGACGCGCCCAGCCGACTGTTGACAAAGTGCTTTGGCAATGGCTTGCGCGGTCAGGTTGGTCCCCCACGGACCCCCTGAAGCCGATCAACAAAGGCAATTCTGGCGTAGGTAGCTGATTTTGGTCATGGGGCTGAGAAAACAATGCCGCGGGGTAGGGAGGCGGAGGAGCGAGGAGAAGGAAGAGAAGAGAAACGGGGAGGGAGTAGGAGGATCAGCGCGGGAGAGGAGGGATCTGTTGGTAGGAGGAGGAGGAGGAGGAGGAACAGGAGGAGGAAGAGGAGGAAGAGTAGGGGAAGGAGGAGGAGGAGGCGGAGGAGGAGGAGGAGGAGGAAATGAAAAGGAGGAGGATTGCAGTTTAGTGCTAACGCCCCCGAGGGTAGGCATAACGTTGTAAAAGGTACTCGTGAAGGTTGGAGTGGCAACCTTCTGGTCCCAGTGTCTGTGCTGGGACTGTTTTGGCTGGAACTTGGTTTGGTGGATGGTATCTCAGGTCAGCATACTCCGAGGAAGCCACCTCTGTTCGACACAAGGTTTTGCGGGGGGTGCTTTACGATAGCCCCACATCGCCTTCTACCGTGCAGGTTGTGGTTTCTGTCGATCCAATGCCATGTCGATTGCCTTTTCCGCAGAGTTTCCGCCTCGTTCCCTTCTCTCACTATGGCTGCCCTTACCCTGTCTCCCGCTGCCCGCTTCGGCCCAAACAATTCTAGGGCCCTTGGCCTAAGAGCTGCGCTTCACTTCGCCGGTTGAGAAAGCAGAACACTTTCTGGCTTCGCGCGCCATTCCACATCACGGTGGTAGCCGGAAACGCGCGGGCCCCGGCAACATCACGCTGCACCTGCCTGTCGTGCCACCGTGCTCGACACACTCCATATCCAAGACGATCGCCGATAGGGGCCCGATCGCCCCAACCTGCTCAGGAGCGTGCGGATGCACCATCGGGGGCCGATCGCCGATTTAGCGGCGATGTATCGCCGATTCCAGGTCGATGTTTCCCCCCCATTTGCTTCGTCCAGAGAATCAGCGCCCAGCGGCGTCTTCTTGCTGCTCATAGCAGCCACGATCGCCCTCATTGCCTTCTTCCCGGACGTCAGCGACGCCCATCCCAACGCCCTCATCACTTTCCTCTCGGACGTCAGCGACGCCCATCCCAAGGCCTTCATTGACTTTTTCCCGGACGTCAGTGACACCCATCCCACCGCCTTCATTGACTTCATTCTGGTCGTCAGCGACGCCCAGCCTAACGCCATCATTGACTACCTCGTGGACAACCCGACGTCTGCACTCGCAACTTCAGCGAAGCCCCCCTGATCAATGTCACGCTTTGTCAGGATTTCAACGAAGCCTTATCGTTCAATTTCGTGTACTTTCAGGATTTAAGCGAAGCCCTCTCGTTTAATTTCGCGTTCTCGCCGGTTCTGGCGAAACCCACAAGGTCAATTTCACGGTCAACCTCCGCGGTCCTCACGCATTTCATTTCAGAACCAATCGGAACACCAAACACCTAGACGCAATGTCGGATCAACACAACACCTTTGGCCAGTCGATCATTCCCACGTGAAATTGCGACCACGCCAACTGGAGAGACTACGAGTTACAAGCGCGAGGTGAAGCTGTGGGAGCCCAGCGAGAATTTAGAGGTCACCCAGAGCCTCGCGTCCAAGCTCGTGCTCAAGCTGACGGGGGGCGGCGAGGGCAGCGGCGCTCAGCGTGGCGGAGGTGGAAGTGCACCCGCCGGCTGCGGCTGACATCGAAGACGCGGGCGAGCAGAAACACAGCCGGAGCCAAGTCGGCATCGATGACGTACCGAATCACTGCAGAAGCCGGTGCGCAAGAGCGGTACTCTGGAGAAGTTTTTGGAGTCGTCTCATCGCCGCCGCCTGCGCGGTGAATGCGTGACGGATTGGCTGGTTCGATTCGAGGCGCGTCTGCAACAGCTGCGCGAGAACGAGGTGGGCCTCGACGCGCTGGGCGACGTAGCTGGATGGTTTCTATAGCGCAAGGCGGGCCTCGCAGCAGGGCGGCGCGAGCGCTTTGCGGGCAACCCGTCGGGCGGGCGGTGCGGATTTCAGCGCGTCCGAGGCCCGCGGGCGAGGATGTTTTCGGGCGCCCGCAACTCGGGGCGCCGTGCGCCGCAGCCGCCGCGGCCGTGGAACAGCCAGTCACGCCCTGCTGGCGATTGGAAATCTTACTCCTCCTCGCATCGAGGAGGGCACTCTACAGACGTCGTCGACGAGCCGGGGGGCGACGAGGGGTGGGGTGGCGGGGGCGACGGCGAGACCGAGGCCGACGTCAAGACGTGGTTCGCCAGGAGCTCGAGGCGTTCGGTGCCCAGCTCGAGTCCTCCAGCGTGGGCGTCTCCGCGGGGTGGCGACTTGAGGTCGAGGTCGCCGCTTCGGAGCTCGCCGCGATTCCCGAGGCCGTGGCCGCCATCAGATCGGTCCGGGAAGCCCCCGAGGGCCGCGGCAAGTAGGGCAGCGGGCTGACTGGGGCACGTCGCCCCGGCAAGCTCCTGAGCCGCGTCGACCAGCACAGGGGGGGATCCATGTGCCGGGGCTGCGGCGAGACGGGGCGCTGGACTGGCGGAAAGGGGTGCCCCGCGCCCCGCGCGCGCAAGTTCGCGCCCAAGAGCAAGCAGAAGGGCGGTCGCGGTGGGGGGCGAGGTGGCCGACCGCGGCGATGGGCGCGCATCGCCGAGCAGGTCCAGTTCGCGGGCGGAGGGGCGCCCCTACACCCGCTGGGGCCGCCGACGCCGCGACGCCTCTTTCGGGGGCCTGCGTCTGCGAGCGGCTGATGCGCCGCGCGCCGGACGTCGACGTATCGGCCAACGGCCAATGGTGAGAAGCCCGTGGGCGAAGGGATTGGCGTGGTGGACGCTGCCTGCCCACTCTGCGTTTTGGGCTCAGTTGGCGCAGCAACGATGGGCCTATCCGACCAGATCCCAGATGGGGCCCGAGGGCGAGGTCTTCGGGTTCGGCAGCGGGGGCGCCCTCCCGAGCAAGCTGCGCGCGACCGCGCCGCTGGTGCTCTGCGGCCGGGCCGGCCGGTCGTGTTCGGCGTCGCGAACAGCCCCGCGCTCGGTCTCCTCATTGGGCGCGACTTCATGCGCCCTTCCAAGATCGACATTTCGCTCTGGGAGGTCCGCGTCGGGAAAGTCACCCAGAAGCTCACTGCGATCTGCGCGGGCCACCCCGCGATTGGTCTGCGGCCTGAGGGCCGGCAAGCGACCGCGGGCGCTGGCGCCGAGGCCCCTCCTCGACCGACTGGAAGGGCCCACACGGATAGCGCCCCAACCGTCAACGATGCCATCGGGGCCGAGTCGCTGACCGAGTCCGCCGGCACGCTCATCAACAAGAAGGAGCTGAACGTGGCGAGACGCCTGCGGATTCGCCGATGAAATGCACCCGAGCTCATTCGGCTGCGGCGTCAGCATTCGCGTGCTGCCTTGCGGCAGCACCTCTCCCAAACCCCGCTCCGGCGACTTTGCCGCCGCCGCCCCAGCCCGCGACGATCGTGGCCGAGCTGCTGCAAGCCTGTAGTTCCTGCAGAGGAAAGCCTCGCGAAGCCAGCGGCCATGTGGGCTCCC